CAGCCTGAGAACTAAGGGTGGATAGCCGGCATGAAGGGTCTGGGGCTACCCCTTCCCCCTCTTGGGGAGGGGAAAGCTGGGCAGACAACGGCTCGGCGACGTGTGACATCAAGATCGTTTGTTCGTTTCGTTTAGGGGAGTTCTATCCACTTGTTTGGCTTTGGCAGCAATATTTTCACCAGAATAGGGGTTTGTTTTGAGATGCTTACTTTTCTGGGTGCCTGACCAGGTCGATGGCAGACATAGAATGCTTCCAACCACACGGGGGTTTTTATAGGCCATTGCTCCCCTTGCCTCTTCTGAGGGGGGCCAGGTTCTGGCTCGTGGTCTCCAGTAGGCCCTAAGAGCTCCATACACACGACTGATGCCAAAGTTTGACATTAGCATATCAGCCTAGTAAGCTCCGGGGAGTCGAAGGGGCTCCCCCCAGAAAAACAGGAGCAGACAAAAAAGCAGGAACGAAGGGGGCCCACTGGTCAGACCCAGAAGCTCTGGCTGGAGGACTAGCCTCAAATGCCTCCAACGCCATCCCCAGAAGGGGACTCCCCCGAGACCGCCCGTGTCTCAACACCAACTAAACCCTGCCCTGACTCCGAAGCCCTCAGATGTTTCGGAGCCGGACGCAAAAGGGGGTGGGGACTGGATGAACAACCGAAGGGAAAGGACAAGGAGGGGCAGTCGGAACCAGAGTCAAAGCGACTTCCACCCTCAAGTCTGGGTTCTTGGACCCGGACCTATCTTGAGATTCTTGAGGTTATCTTGAGATGATTTCGGGGCTTTTTTTTTTTTTAGTGTCCCCGCGGCCCGGTCCTCGACCAGGCCTCCACCCCCAGGAAGCAGCCCGTGACAGCTGACTAACACCCAGGTACCTATTTTACTGCTAGGTAACAGGGGTATAGGGTGAAAGAAACTCTGCCCATTGTTTCTCGCCGGCGCCTGGGATCGAACCCAGGACCACAGGATCACAAATCCAGCGTGCTGTCCGCTCGGCCGACCGGCTCAACCTATCGCGTTGCAGCAACTTAAACTGAGCATGCAATGCCTCTGCTGCCTGCACCCTCATATCATGTTCTGTAGCTTGAGTGAACTGGAGCACATACAAGGAAGAAATGTTGCACAACTCCGGGTCAAAAGAATCACTGACTCGACATGCAGCATGGCAGAGGCACAACCGGTGATTGACACCTTGAGACAAGGGGACAGAGTAACCATCAACGTCGCATGAAGTGAGAGGGGACTCGAGGGTCGCATTCATCGGACCACGGAGCCCCTGCTGGGTTTCTCAGGGCCCTCAGCCTTGGTAACACGCTAAGGGAAGCCCAGGCAGGGTACTGCGAACAGGCGCCCAAAACTACCAAGCAAACTTCTAAAAGGTGAACTTCCCTGGGACATGTCCACTCACGGAGGCCTAGCAGGGAGGGGGGGGGGGGGGTACCACCGAGCACACAGTGTAATGAGCACAAAGATATGTATATATATAATGACCCCCCCAAGCGTAGATAGGGGGGGGGGGCCAACCAAAGGCAAACCCCCCTCCCTACCAGGCAGGAAAACAAAAAGAAAAACCCCCGCAAGAGGACAACATATCCAGGCGGAACAGAGCCGGCTGCTATATGAGGTGATAACAAGCTGTGCAAGGGAGGGGAAACAAGGGAGCCGGTCGGCCGAGCGGACAGCACGCGGGACTTGTGATCCTGTGGTCCTGGGTTCGATCCCAGGCGCCGGCGAGAAACAATGGGCAGAGTTTCTTTCACCCTATGCCCCTGTTACCTAGCAGTAAATAGGTACCTGGGTGTTTGCCAGCTGTCACGGGCTGCTTCCTGGGGGTGGAGGCCTGGGGGTGGAGGCCTGGTCGAGGACCGGGCCGCGGGGACACTAAAAAGCCCCAAAATCATCTCAAGATAACCTCATGATAACCCCGTGCCTCTACCAGTGATGAAAACTACCCCCTACCCAGAGGCAAACAAGGGCAACAAAAACCCCAGCTGACTCCAAGGGCGGACAATTACCGAGCAGTAAAAGACACAGCGAAGGTAGATCCCAAAGCGACTTGTGGAACGTGGCCCCAAGGGCAGTACTTACTGGGCACCTAAGGAAGGAAACCCTAGGCGCATGCAGCCAGAGTACCATAGTACTCCCGGCTCACACACCACCTGTAGAGACAGACCAAGCCACAAGGCACAGAAACAGAGACCAAAGCAGGAGTCAGAGGAACATGACCTGCCAATATCACATAAGCCAAGAATTGACAGTTGGATCACCAGCGCAAGGGTCTGGGGCTCCCCCTTCCCCCTCCCAGGGAGGGGAGGGGGGTTGCAAAGGCAGCGGCGCAATGACGTCATGCTCATTTGCTAATTTTTGTTTGGCGAGTTCTGTCTACTCACTCGGCTTTAGGTAGCAGTATTTTCGCCAGAATAGGGAGTTTGTTTTGGGCCACCTTCCTTTTTTCTGGGTGCCAGACCCGGTCGATGGCAGACACAGAATGCTCCCAACCACAAGAAGGTTTCTATAGGCCATTGCTCCTCGTGCCTCTCTGAGGGGGCCAGATTCTGGCTCGTGGTCCCCGGTAGGCAAGAACTCCATGCACGTTTACTGATGCCAAAAAGCTAATACAATGGGGCCTCGACTTGTGATGCTAATCCGTTCCCAGAGACGGATCGTAAGTCGAAATATTGTAAGTCGAAGCGATTATTCCCATAAGAAATAAAGGGAATTGAATTAATCTGTTTCCCACCCTCCAAAATATTAACATACAAATACATTTTATACTGAATACAATGTTTTTTTCTAACTACAATACAGTACCAAAGTTGATCTTACCTTTATGGAGGACTCTTGATGGTGTATGGATGATGGTGATGAGGGGGGGAGGAGGAGAGTTGTCACTGTTTGGTAGGGGAGTCCCCTTCCATTATCACATCAGGCAGTGATGTTTTGTCTGGGGTACTCTCTCTCCTACGTTTTGCCTGAACACCACTAGGACCTGGTTGTGGTTCAGTGTTTGTTTGTCTCGCTGCAAATTTGTCAAGATACATTTGTTTTTCCCTTTGTTTTAACATTTGCCTGTAATGATGCATCACTTGAGCACCCATAATGTCCTTTTTCTTAGCTAGTATGGTGGATATCGTTGACTGAGATTTGTTGTACTGCCTAGCTAGTTCAGCAACCCGCACACCATCTTCATATTTACGAATGATCTCTCGTTTCTGCTCTATGGTCATCCTTACATGGGATCTCGTATGTTGAGCCTTACCACTGACTTTCCTGGGACTCATGGTGTGATATATAATAATTATTTTAATGTTCAAAATGCAACAAATCACCACAAACGCAGAATTTCTTATAGGTGCGATCGTCACTAAGCGGGCAGCTGTAGTAAACTGAGGCAAGTCGGACCGCATGACCGGGAACCACGCGCTTGGTCAACCCGAACGTGCACCAACAAATATCGTAAGTCGACGACACCATCGGATGTCGAGTCGCATTTTTCGATGAAATTTACATAATAACCCAAAATTATCGTAAGTCGGGGCAATCGTAAGCCGAGGTGCCACTGTAATTACATATCAGCCTGGATAGCTCCGGGGAGCCGACGGGGCTCTCCCCAGAAAACTAGATTGCGTGGCCTGTGGGCTACTCCAAGCAACAGCCTGGTGGACTAAGCTCTCCGAGGCCAGGCTTGGGGAGGAGAAGAACACCCAGAACGCCATCAATCAGGTATCAAGCAGGTAAGCAGAAGTTTTGGAGGTTAATAAAATAACCAAAATAGAGAACATGGGTGAAAGGCAATAGCAGAACAGATATGATGTTGGATAGACTGACATCACTTAAAAAGCATAATCATGCTTGATGGACCTAGTTGCAGCAAAGGCAGTTGGGACAGACCAAATACCACAACTGTTGCTAATGATTCTGCAGGAGTACTATGCAATTCACTTACTAGAATCTTCAGTTAAACATTAAAGATGTGTAACCCCATAACCAACACGACCACAGGATTTATCTCTTACACGAATGCTCTTAGTCTATGGGAAAAATATTCATGCCTTACAATGTGATCAAACCAATATCCCTAGATGCCTCCAGCAAAACGCGTGAAATTAGCCAGAGATGTGGGTTCCGTCCCATTTTTTTTTATTATTATTTTCTACCACAGATGTGGCCACACATTTACAATGCTAACCAGCATATATACATTTTCTTCTGTCCTCCATGGACAGGGTTAGAGAAGTGTTAAACATATAGTTCAGGGGTTTATTGAACCAACCACAGAAGGTGATTCGGTGCTTTTAAAATGCTAAGCTAACCTACATACATAAATACATAGATACACAGATTTACGTATGCCCTACATAAAGTGTTCGATGTGTCTTTTACATAGTGTCATTAATGTGCATTTACAAAGGTGAAATGTAATTCTGATCAGCTTCCATATATACTTTATACACATACATATATATACACACACATATACATACATATACATATATACATACATATATACACACACACATGCATTCACATACTTTTGTCTCTTACTCTGACAGGATGAGATAGCTGAAAGAGAAACTAGTGTGCAATTGAGCACCCAATCACTGAAAGTGATTAAGGTGCTTTTACAAGCTCAGGTTATATAGTTACATCACATACATACATTGTATAATTGATACATTACATGGTTAATCTTGGGTACAAGTCCAATATATCATCAAGTGTTCCAGTACTCATATAGTAATTACACAGTTCAGCATACCTCAGCCCAGGAGGCCTTACAATGTGTGACTTTCCGTGCCATTGTATAGCCTCAATTTTTTTTTATAGATACATCATGTTCTTGTGACTTAATTCTAATCTTATTCTATCACCTATCTTATGAGCAGAAGAGGATCTATATAAGCCCAAGTCTCCAGGTCATCAGAGCACTCCATTTTTACCATGGGAAGGTGGTGTTCTACTTTACAGCAATAATCTCCCTACAGAAAGCAAAATTCACACGTTACCTGAAGTTCGTCACTGGTCCACTGGTCTCCGTGCTCGGGCAGCGGCTGCAGCTTCAATATAAGGTTGTACGAGGGACTACTCTGAACCAATATTTGGCAGTTGAGGGTCTCTGTCTTGAACTGAATGCTACCGGGCTCGATGCCACCCACGGGCTTCATCTGGCGAGGAAAAACACATCGCTGACTTTGGTATTGTATCTACATATAATGAACCTACCCGCCAAACACACGACGAAATGACGACGTTGCTACATCATTCCAACAAGATTTAACACCTCCAAACAAGTTGTAACAACGTTCTAATACTTCATAAAAATGTTATAACAAGATGTAACAACTTTATTACAAGTTTTAACAAGCGGAAAATAAGGACAGTTACATTGTGTGTTTGAAGAGTTATTATCTCTTAATATCTCCCTGCCCCCACTCAAAAAACCAGTGGTGAATGTAATGAAACGCCATTTTCTGGGTGAGACCCGGAGACTCCCCGGAGCTTACTAGGCTGATATGCTAATGTCAGACTTTGGCATCAGTCATGTGTATGGAGTTCTGTGGGTTCTGTGGACCACGAGCCAGAACCTGGATCCCTCAGAAGAGGCAAGGGGGGTGCAATGGCCTATAGAAAACCCTGTGTGGTTGGAAGCATTCTATGTTTACCTTTCTGGGTCAGGCACCCAGAAAGGTAAGCATCCCAAAACAAACCCCAATTCTGGTAAAATTATTGCTACCACAAGCCAAACAAGTAGATAGAACTCCCCTAAAAGAAACAAGCAAACAATCATGATGTCACACGTTGCCGTGTCGCTGTCTGAGCAGCTACCCCCTCCCTGGGAGGAGGAAGGGGTAGCCCCAGACGCTTCACGCCGGCTATCCACCCCCAGTTCTTAGGCTGGATGTCAAAACACGAGAAAAACTGCCGACCGGAGGGAGGGATGCCGGGGAGCCTCTGGATCTCATCCAGAAAATGGCATTTTATTACATTCAACGCTGTTTTTTTGGGGGGAGCCCCTTCGGCTCCCCAGAGCTAACTACCCGCAGAGGAAAAGAATAGGGACTTACCCGGGAGGTGGTCGCTGCTCACTCCTCAACTCGAAGTCGAGACAACTGGCTGCAATCACCGACCCAGAGCGACACAGGCCCGACGAGGCCCAGGGACGTTCACGAGGTAACGAGCAGCCAGGACCCTGTTGGACCGCCAAAAACCCTGTGCTCGAATGTCAGCCCAGGAAATGTTGCCAAAGACGGCAACAAGAGAAGAACACTTACAAATGTCATGGGCACGGGGATAAACCGCAGGCTGGCAAGCCTTAATAACTCTGCGGACGACCTGAGAGACTCGCACCTGCGAACAGGGAAGAAGGGAAACCGGATCATCCCACAGCGCGTCCCCGGATACCAAAGCCATGGGGCGCAAATAACAGTGAAGAACCGCAACTGGACACAAAACATGATGCACCCCCGGCCGAACGAACCAAGCATCAACCACCAAGGCTCCCTTCCAGAAAGCAGCAGTCTCATTCTTCGCCAGAAAAGAAGATGGCTGCAAATGAACAAAACCATGACGAAGACTGAAGGAGCAGAAACCCCTGCATGAAGCTCACCAACCCGACCCCCAGAGGCCAATGCCAACAGAAAAAAGCCCCTAAGAGAAACAATCCTGAACCGAAGGGGCCACAACAAACCGAGAAGAAAGATAGGAGAGCAGCCTGTCCAATGACCAGGATGGCTCAACCCGGTGCAACAAAGCCCGAGACAGCTTGTGAAACGGTGCAGAAGTAACATCCATACTGAAAGCAAGCTGAAGCAGCTCCACCAGCGCCGCACGATACGAGGCGACAGTATTAGTCATAAGGTGACGGTCCTGGAACAACCAAGAGAGAAAGGACAAAACCACATTAACAGAAAGAGAAGCACAGCGACGAAGACGCAAAAAGAAACGGAAGGACCGCCACGAGACTTCATACTGCCGCCGGGAGGAAGCCCGCAGGTGGGACACTAACAAGGAAGCCACCTGATCACCTTAGAGATGATAAACTTGAGTCAAAAAGACCATACGCAAAGACTCGAGGAGAAGATTGAACCAGTTACATGACGCATTGAGCCAATCTGTTGGAAGAGGCAGAGCCACGAGAAAACCTCCGGGTTCGGACACCGAGCAAGCAGCACCTCAAACCAGGCTGGGCCGGCCACCACGGGGCCAAGACAACTACTTTTCCCTGGTAGGTCTCCAAGCAAGCCAGGACCTGGAGCAACAGCTGAACCGGAGAAAAGAGGTAAAAAAAAAAATCACCTCAACCAGTCCTGTCGAAAGGCATCGACCCCGACTGCCTCCCAATCGGGAAAGGACGCCACATACTGGGGAAGGCACCGCGACCACACCGATGCGAAGAGGTCCACCTAGGGGCGCCCAAACGTCTGGCAGAGCCAACGGAAAGAGTCGGCGTCGATGGTCCATTCCATGGAGAGGGGAACGAAACGGGACAGGCCGTCGGCCAAGACGTTGAACACACCCCACATACGAACTGCAAGGAGAGCCAAACCCCGAGAACTCAGCAGACAAGTCACCTGAAGTGACCAGCGCCAAAGAGCCAAGGACCGTAGCGAATTCCCCCCTCCCCCATTCAAGCAATGAACCACCGGGGAGCAGTCCGAATGGAGCCGGATCGTTGATCCCCAGGCGACCCGAACCCTCCGAAATGCAAACCACACCACCGCAAACTCCCACACCATGCTGTGTGCTCGACGGAAGGACGGACCCCACCGCCCCTGGCCAGTATGGTGAGCACTGGTCACAAAACCCCAGCCGAGAGACAAAGCGTCTGTAAACACATCGAGCGAGGGCTCGGGAACAACCGTGGACATCTTCAAGAGAAAACTGGACTGTTTTCTAAGAGAAGTTCCGGATCAGCCGGGCTGTGGTGGGTATGTAGGCCTGCGGGCCGCTCCAAGCAACAGCCTGGTGGACCAAACTCTCACAAGTCGAGCGTGGCCTCGGGCCGGGCTTGGGGAGTAGAAGAACTCCCAGAACCCCATCAAGCAGATATCAAGCAGGTATCATCCAAGAACCCGGCTCCAAAAGGAGCTGAACCTGGGACAGTGTAGTCATCCGAAAGGAGGGGCAATGAACCCAAGGGTTCAGACGGGACAGGTCCAGAATGAACCGCAGGTCCACACAGTCCCGTTTTGGCACGGGAAACAGACGGGAAACCTATCTGAGGGACGACGTCACAAGCGAACCCACTCCAAGACAACTTATCGGAGTGCAGGAGAAGAGGCCTGCTCCACCAGCCACGAACCCCCCCCGAAAGGGAAGGGGCCACCCAACGCCACCGCAGGCCGAAAGAAATGACCCGAAACGCCCACAAATCGTAGGACCAGGCGTGAGCGAATAGCGTAAGCCTCCCCCCAATTGCCCTGTCAATGGGGCGAACTATGAAAGGGCCAGCGCCCCTTACGAAACCCAGAACCCTGAACAGGGCAAACACCTCAACGACCAGCTGAAGGCAGGTCCGAAGGAGGAGCCAAGCCCAAACCTGGCATTAGTGGTCTACCACGACGAGGGGAACCACGAACCCTGGCACGACCCCTCCGAGAAGGCACCCCCAGGACCCCCAGAGAACCAACAAATCCGACATCGGACAGCAACTGGCCAATGCAGCCTAAATATACTACACCACGGCTGCAGGAGCAAAAAGCAGCGGACAAAAGGGAAAAGACAGCTTAAGAGCCAGGGGCCCAGGCCAATTCCAGAAAGGAGGCAAGCACCGCCTGTTAACACGCGAGCTGGGAAGCATAAAACTGAGCAACTGCATCCTGCAAGATCGATGCAAACAGCTTCAACAAGGCAGCTGACACTGCCAAAGCGTTGCTGCCAAAGCACCGGACCCCGTAAAGGCCCCGAGCGCCCCACATCCTCCCCAAGCCAGTCAGAAGACAGCTCCAGGTGGGAAAAGAAGCGCAAGGCCGAAGCCAGAAGCCTCTAGTGTGCAAATCCTTGGCCACCTGTGCAGCAGAAAGGGAGGGAACCTGCACATGGAGCTACAGAACACCAACATCCTGGGAAGGGCAAAAGCAAACAAGCACTCATTGAGGTGCTCAAGGTCGCCCCTCCCCCTCAAGAAAACCTGAACCACCAGAGACACCTCGTGCCACTCAAGCGTGCGGGAATGACAGAAGGAATGCTAGGCCTCCAAGGCAAAAATAGGACAGTCCGCCAGCCAGGACGACTCCGGAACCTCGTAACGGACCCAGAAAGAGAACGAAGTCCCAAACCTGATTGACAACAGATCCATCACCGAGGCGTAATCTGGGTCACGCAGGAGGTAAGCCACAAGGGCTGCCCGCACCGCAGACGGATGGATGCTGGAAGCTGAAAACCTCCGGAAAGACGGAACTGAACCCGGGGAGGGGCAGACGCCAAATCCAAGTCGTACGAGGAGGGGGGAAAAGAGAACCCTACTCCTTGTAACAATAAGCCCCGCTCCGAGGGTAGAAAAACCCAGGAGGGGTCCAGCGGGGCCCAAGGCCCCCAAGTCAGCCCCTCCTTAGCCCCAGGATCCCCCTCCTTGGGACCCGGGGCCGAGTCATCCCCCAGAGCACTGGCTCCTAAAGAAAAGGCCAGCGCAGCCGAGTAAGCCGAACAGGAGGTCTACTGGTCAGACCCAGAGGCTTCGGCTGGGAGATCGGACTCGAAGGTCTACGTCGCCACACCGGAAGGGACATTCCAAACCGCCCCAGACTGAAGACCGCATAAACCCTCAGACACTTCGGAGCAGGAAGCAGGGACGGTGGGGGGGATCAGAACGAACCACAGAAGGCAAAGGATGAGGGGCCGCAGACTGAACCAAGGTCGAAGCAACCCCCACCCCCGAATACGAGTCCCTATAAGCAAAACAGGGCAGCCTTGGGGCATCCGGGTGAGCAACCAACCTCGCGCATTGCAACAACCTAAAACACGCATGCAATGCCTGCGCCGCCTGTACCTGCAAAAGATCATCACTGGACTGGGTAAATTGAGTTACTAGCAAGCAGCAGTACACACAGGACTCGGGGTCAAAAGTGTCACCGACCCAACAGGCAGCATGACGGAGGCAAAAACCGTGAGGGTCACCCTGAGTCAAGGGGACTGAGCAACCCTCAAACTCGCATGAAGCGAGGGG